CCCCCCAAAAAAAAAAAAAAAAGGCGCATCCAGCGAGCCTTCACCACTGTGGACGATCGACTCCGAAGTTTCCTCTGCCCTGCGCACAGCTCTGAACATTTCCTCACCTCTCAAAGTTTAGGGCTCGGAGAGTTCTTTGGGGCTTTTTTGGTAGTTTTAGGGTGGATTTAGGGGTTACGAAGCCTGAAAGCCTCTGAAATTTCTAGGATTTCGGCTTTAGGGGCTAGGCTTTTGAGCTTTAGAGCTCTAAGTTGAGGCTTAGAGGGCATTAGTAAGGTTAAGGATTTATTGGAGGCTGAAGTGTTCAGGGCTTTAAGGTCTTGGTGCGTGGTCTCTGAGCCTCTGAGCCCCTAAGCCAAGTAGAAGCTTTACTGACAGCTGCAAGCTTAAGCTTACTGGGTTTTGTGATGACTTCATCCACCGGCTTCTTCCAGGGCCTTCGCGCCGAAAGCGAAGTGACAAATCGACAGCACAGCTTCTCGCATGTTCAGTTTTGACATGAAGAAGTCCAAACGAAACTGCCATGAGAATTGGACTCAAGATCCACACGCACACGTACAAGCACATGTCCATACGTACTATATAACTCAATACACACCTACAAATGTATACGTTACACAGATGGAGCGATGGATGGGTCCGTGGATGGAAGGTATGTGATGAATGTTCTATGTGCACTATCTAATCTATCTATCCATCCTCTATCTATCTACCTACCTATCTATCTGTCCGTCTGTCTGCCTATCTTATCCATCTATCTATCTATCTGTCTACAGCCAACGTGGAGATATGAGTCTTCAGGCATTCCAGCCCCTTGAAAAGGCCCCATTTCCAGGCACGGGCCTTTCCTTCAGGCTTCGCTGCTTCGAACCATGTAGTGCGAAACCCTGAAACCGTAATCAAATGCGTACACGACCTACAATGACCTACAAGGTGAAGGCCATTCGCACAATCCCGGCTGCAATGCGGGGTGCACCGCGGTGGGCGCCATGGTGGCGCGCAACCGCCCGATTCTCGCAAGGTTTGGACGAGATTCTGCATGTTTCAGGGCGTGTACTTTGAGGCATTCATGACTCACATGACCAATATGTAACCCGAAACTCTCATCATGCACGTTTATATATTTTCTGCACACACATGTTTATACACACACACATACACATGCACGCATATGCAGGTTGCGGCTTGCTAGCAGATCAGACGTGACGCCCTGCTGGAGTTGACGATTGCACTTTCCGAAGTACCTGTCCCCAAAGCCCTGCTTTTGACGGAGTTTGCGCTTCTGCTTTCGAAGTATATAAAAACATGTTGCTGATGAGCTTTGTCGGGAGAGCTGGAAGACCCAGTGGTGCATTTAAGCTCTTGCAACGCAACCGGCACCGGGTCACCTAGCAGGACTGTGCTGGCACGTGGGTTTATCCAGCGAGGTAGGCATTTCCAAGCCCCCCAAAACCTGTGCAGACCCAAGCAACATCGGTTCTTTTTTCTGAGCAACGAGAGACGAGAGCCATCAGCTTTGATGAGCTAGAGGCGATGGCACCTATGCGGCCAAGCTTGTGAATTGCCGGGCGTCCCAGACGCAACGTGCAAACGGAAGAGGACAGGGATCTGCCGGTTTTCTTCCCTCATGCTCACGCTCTGGTATACGGATAAATGGTTGCAGACTTTAGAGGCCTTGGAGTCCGTGATTATGACCAGGCATGCACCCCGCAAAGAATAAGAAGCAACATAAAGTCGAGACATTCATGTAGCCGCTAGAGCCACTAGAGCGCCTGCTGCACTCGACACTGGGCCCTCCCGATATGGTGATCTCTGATCCTCTGCTCCCAGCACTCTGCAGCATCAGGGTTGGCTGTGCGAACATGTCGCTGCATGTCATGATCCTAATTCTGCATCCGGCATGGAATTTGTCTTCGAAGCATGAGCAATAGACTCACAGGAGATGGACAGAGGAAACTAATTCACATGACGGAAAGCGACAATGCCCGCTTGGACGAAGGCTTCTCTGATAATTCTGTGGGCGTTCTGGGGTAGACCCCGACATGTCATGAGGTGCCGATATCGAGTAAAGCTCGGCCTGAGGTGGGGATTCGCGGTGCGTGGTCATCCACGCACCCGAGGAGGATGAGATGAGCGCCGAAACCCAAGCACGCGCCGAACTTCGAAGACTTGGGATTTCCTTCGAAAAACGCTGGTTTGATAAAGTGCAGCTTCGAGGAGGCCCTTAGCCTTAGGTATCGGACGTAGAGATGTTTCGTCAACATGATTCGTGGACGGTGGGGGCAGTTTCTAGACTGCTAGTGGTACGTAAGATCCCCCCAATTAAGCCCTTATTATGGCTCTATTAAGCCCATATTATGGCCTGACTAAGCCCCTATTATAGCCATAATAAGCCCTAGCTTCGCAGACCCTTTGAGCGTCGAGGCGGCCACCATCCAAGTCAAATTGCCAAAATCACTGGAAACATTTCGCCGGGGCCTCAGTTTCACCGGCATCCCGTTCAGAATCGTCTCGTCTGCCTTGTGACTTCCGCCGGAACACCTTCGGTTGCCAACTTGCTGGAATCCTCATCAACCGTACATGATGCAAATATCCTTTGCCTCCAGGACGCAATCAGCGCTTTCAGGTTGACACATGAAGCCTCCATCATCCGGTGGGATCCGTGCTGATCTCGCCCAGACCATATATAAGCTCATATGAGACCTAACTGTTCGCTGAAGTCCTCCGGGCACGTCTCGGAGAAGGATACATCGGAGCATAGAGCAGTTGCTAAACCCTGAACTCAGGGACCTCCATGTAATCCCTATGTACCGTACATGCCTTAGAAATAAGCCTTCTCAGTGCCATGAACCATGGGCAAGTGCAAGCCCCCAGAAGCCTTACGAGCCTTCTGGACAGGTCTGGCGGCAGAAACTAATTGGTCCAAGGCGCTGTGACCTGGGAGTTCAAGAGAATCAGAGACCTCCATTTTGGGATACGATTCCAGAGACCCCATAAGGAGAAATACACACTTCTGTGAACAAGACTGTGGGCTTCTTGACATGCATCCAGCATACGCGGGACACTCCAATCACCGAGGCGCCAAAACCACAACCATTGTAAAGACAAGGACAGCCAACAAGGATGTCAGAATAGCTATCGTTCTGGTCACGAGTCATACCAGTCCGATCCTGAACGGCGTTTTAACTGCTTCAGGTTCAGTGGTAGAAGCAGAATCGAATGATGCTTGGCGGCGCTACCATGATGGGACATCGAACAGCCGAACAGTGGTAAGTTGCGAGTAGCGTTTGTCTTGTCCAGACTAGCTGGAAGGACAAATGATTGTCAAAGATTGTCATGCCTTGTGTCTGTGCCCGTGTCTATTTCCCTCGTGTGAGTGCTGCCATGCTCATGAAGCTGGGAGTGGTTTTCCGTGGCCTCCACTTGCATTGTAGTTCTACGGTCGGGGCCGACATGAGCTGCCCGTGCCACGAACAAAACCGGACGCCGAAGAGCCAAATGCGTGCAGAAACCCCGTGAATCCGACCAGGATTCATCCTGGCTACCGGAGTGGCCAGCAGTGGTGCATGGCTTAGCAGCGCATCTTGGGTGCTGGTAGATACCCGTTGCAAGAGATCAAAGCTGCTGCCTTGCGGGCTGTTGCACGGGAAATGCGGTAGCAATCTGGCTCAAAGCACTTCCATCCTCCGTAGCCCAATGTTGACTGGTTTCCTTTTTCCGCCTGTGACTTGAGCGGGACATCGAAGGATTCATTGGTTTTTGCTGCCCACTCTTGCAGTTCCACATCGCGCCAAGGGCATGCAGTACATGCAGCTTGCCCTGCAAGCGCCAAACCAAAGCCTGCTCAGCGTCTCAAGCTTTGTTACCATTTCAGTGGCAGCTTAAGTGGCCGTTTAGGTGCTCCGAAGTGGATCACACCCGCAACCAGCGGATTTCCTGAGCTCTAGATACTCTATAGATGCCAAACCTAAATCCTGCACAAGGTTGGGCTTGATGTTGGTGATGTTCGATGCGCTGAAGACTTCGCAGGCCAGGTGTATGCGGCGGCACCTGGATCAGGGCTTCAGGGTCTGCAGTAGGGCGTGGATTTCCCGTTTTTACAGCTTCGGCTTCATGCTCCGTGTGTGGCTGCGCAGTCGTGGCAGTGTTCGGCTAGCTCCATGCTGGGCATCCCAGCCCGTAGAGTCCTCCGTCCCTTTGGCAGGGCGCAACCCTGACACTCCTCGACGAAATCTTCGATGGCAGCACCCAGTTCCAGATCTCCAACAACTTCTTCTCGGACGGAAACAATGACTTTTTTGGCATCCTCAGTGCTGACGGCACAACAGGTCTCTTCAGCGGGGGACCCGGGGATGTGTCAAGCGCTTTGCCAGGGACCGAGACTGGCAGGGTGAGCAGCAATTTCCAAGTCTCCGGCTTTGACAATGCCTACTTGGTAGCTCAAGATCTGGATGGCGAAGGGGGCCCCAAAGAGGTGACGGTCACTTGAGAGAACCTTGATGTCTCGGGCTGTGCCCCCGACTCCCTTCGTTTTGCAGGAAAGTTTGCCACGGACGATTCCAGCGACGGCAATTTCGACTTCGACGCTGCAGACTTCGTCAGGATCTTGGCTTCTCTGGATGGTGGTTCCGACACACTCGTGTTGGAATGGTCGATCAGTGGATCGGGCGCTTCTTTCAGCCAGCAGCCCAGGCTGACAGACGACACCAACACTTTTCTCACGTCAACTGCCCTGGAGGTTCAGAGAAGCATTTCCGGCACCTGGGATGTCCTTTAGAGTTTGTTTTTGAAGATTTGGGGATCGGTGGGTCATGAGAGTGATCTCGCGAGCGGTGCATCTAGCTATACTTCCAAGAAGCACGCGCGCTCGACATGTGGGTCAGCCCTCCAAGATTAGCCAAGGAAGTGGGACGAGCATGACTTTGAAGTTGGTGATCAGCCTGGATTCTGGTGACGAGGACATTGCGGTCTCGAACCTGGTCGTCACCTGTGTTG